CAAACGCCCACTAAAAAGGCTGTACTAAAAAAAGTAGTTGTAATAGTTGACCAAAATTTTTTTTTACGATTACGATACGAGATGGAAAATTGCTTTAAGATAAGAAAGTCTCAAAGCAAGCATTCGCTATGAAAGGCCGTACTAAAAGTAGTAGTAGTAGTAGTTGACTGCAATAAAAAAAACGAATAAGAAACGAGATGAAAAATTACTTTAAGATTAGAAAGTCTAAAACCAAGCATCCGCTAAAAAGGCTGTACTAAAAGTAGTAGTTGTAGCAGTTGACCGAAATCTTTAAAAACGATTATGATACGAGATGGAAAATTGATCAAAGATAAGCAAGTTTCAAAGCAAGCATCCTCTAAAAAGGCTGTACTAAAAGTAGTAGTTGTAGCAGTTGACCGAAATTTAAAACAACGATTACGATATGAGATGGAAAATTGCTTTAAGATAAGAAAGTCTAAAACCAAGGATCCACAGCGAAAGGTCCTACTAAAAATAGCGGTTGTTGTAGTCTTAGTAATACTAATAGTACAAAAAAAACGTTTACACCCCAATTGTAGTCGTAGTTGTAGTAATAACTAATTGTACAAATACACGTTTCACACCCCGAAAGATAACATTTATCTCATAAGAGAGGTAGACTGCTTCGACTTCGCCCGTCAAGGCCCACCCAGGCGGAGCGGAGCAAGAATTTATTCCAGCAGAAAGACGAGGAATCTAAATGTGTCACGACGCGGTGGAATCAGGTGCTCGTCCATTTTTGGGCACTTGGAACTATTGGTATCATCATAAAGCTTGTTCGTATATCTTGTATTTAAGTGAGAAAAAAAAAAAAGTACCCGTTTATCTTGAATAGAAGTTGAGACAGTTGCGACAGAGGGTCGTCTGGTTTCAGAAGTAAAACTAGGGAGAAAGTGGCAGTCAAAGTTTAGTGATGACGATGACTTCCAAAGCTTTAGAGTTCTCAGAAACTGAAACTGTACCCTTTTTGTGACTTTTTATGCCTTTAATCAATGTTTTTCAGTAAAATCCACACTGAAATGTGCTTTTAAAAGGACAAAAAAAAGATGTTGAGGCAAAACAAAAAAATTTAAGAAAAATTTCAAAATCGGCAGACAAAATGACTGTTTCTTCCATTGCATTATTTTAACGAGCGCGTGCTTCCACCACGATGCCTCACAAATAATCCATCTTCCTTGTAAGAAGTGGAAAATCATGTCCCCAGTGAGCAAAGCGAAGCGCCAACATGTTACAGCAAAGAGACCAATACGGGCATTTTTAGTTTAAGCAGAAAAAAACAGTATGCGAGTGAGAAAGACTGCGGTGTGAGCGATCTGTCGGGGAAGACGAAGGCTACGAGCGAGAGGAATGTACACAGAGAAACAAGGGGAAATTAATGAGAATGGGGCAAAAACAGAAGGGAATGTGTGGGTGTGTGTGTGCGTGTGTGTGTGTGTGTCTGTGCATGTGTGAGCGGGGAGGGGGGGGAGGAGAGGGGAGGCGTCTAAAGTTACACATAAAATTGCAAGCAATCAAGCTAGTTGTC